AATTCTTTTTCGTGTCTGACCTTTCGATTTTGTTGTTTTTAATGAATTATTTCCCGGTTTTTGCCATTTTGCAAAATTCGCTTTATGGTGTTGGTTAGTTGGCTAAAGCTTGAGTTAAAAGGTTTTTCCAGTAGCCCATATATTTAAGCTGAGCGACGCGAGCCGCGATGTCGCGCGGCCCGATTTTGGGGGGGCTATATCTCGTGAAGGGTCGCCCGTAGAGGTATGGTTCATTAGACATTATTTGATCGCACAGGGGGGTCGACACTGTGGGGGGTTCCCGCCCCCCTCAGGCAACACTTGATTCTTACCATTCTTGTATGCCTACTGTCACATCGTACTTCAGATTTACGCAATTGACTAATGGATTTGTGGTTAACGTTCCGAACTGACTAAGCTTTCTCTTAATTCCACCAAATTATCTAAAATTTTCTACATACCATGAGGGGGCATAATCTTCCAAGTAACCGCCATAATTCTCACTTCCTCATTCTCTCTATAAAAATCCGGAACCTGGGTAAATCTTTCAGCATGTACTGTACTTCCACATAATGTATAACCTTTCTCCGTCCTTCCTTTGTCTTTTTGTTCCATGTGTTCAGCTTCGGGCTATTTTCGCCCAGTGGGGTTTCGGCGTTAAGGGGATGTTTCGGAAGTAATCATGCTCAGAATTTATATATGGATTGACCTCATTAATCCGGTACTGTCACTAATACTTATTACACGTGTAAATTTACAAAAGTTATAACTAATATTTGCAATCCAAAGCGTAATTATTTGATATGAAAAAAATCCAGCGACGAGTTGCTTAACTTCCCGGTAATATTTGATGACGCTATCTGTTATTATATTTTATTTAAAAACTTTTTATATTTTTAACTATTATAATATGGCAAAATGCTTAATTTTGAGGGTAGGGATGGGTTTTATAAAAAGTTGTAAATGCTAATAACAAGTAAAATCATCATTAAGTCTGACCCTGATCGAGATAACACGATCTTCTTTAAAGGTCCAGGAGGTAGAGAGATAAGGGGATTGATGTATTAAATTTTGGTTAATAAAGAAATCCCCGTGCAAAATTTCAGAAACTTTCGACAAAAAGCACAGAAGTTATTAAGCTTCAAAGAGAGTGAACAAAATCGTACCCCCACCCCACACACACACTAACATTCAGACATACAGAAATTACCCTCCTGAATTATTATTATTTTCATTTTTTTCGACGTTTCAAGGTGTCCTGAGCACAAAACTGTAAAAATCTTGGGGTCATTTTTTGACCGATCGACACACTTTCCCTCTGTTATATATATAACAGTCGGAAAAGTAATAATATAAAACTAAAAATTAATTTTTTTTACGGCGATAGTTTAACATTATAATCATCCGTTTTATTTTAAACAACTAAATTCATTTTTTAAATTGTTTTCGAAAGGGACTGCTTAAAATTACAATTGTCTAAAATAATCCATAATAAAAAAAAAATTATTTTATCACTTACAGAAGTCTTCTGTAATATTTGAATGAAACATAAGAAAATGCACAATAGAAACCAAACTTCCCGTACGTCCGTTCTTATTAATGTGTAATCTAAATTATATATTTTACACAATCACCAATAGGCGACATACTATTACAAATAAGTTGAAATAACTACTAACTTTTAAAAATTAATTTTTTCAATATGTAATAGAGGTTAATTTATTTAGAGTTGTTTTCAACAGCTAATTATTTACTTGTGTACTGACTTTACCATTTAATCAGTCAAATATTATAGAACAACTCTAAATTTATTCAGTTGCAATCAGGACATTTCATACCAATCAAGGCAATCCGGACGTAAGAAATATCCTGATTGCAACTGACACAGATTGAACAGATTGCAAAATTATGTAAAAACTACAATAAAAGACGTAATTTGAAGACAAACTTGCCCAGTTTTTTATTACAAAAATCGGTACAATTCTCTCTCTACTCCTCCTTACACAAAATTATAAAACTTCTAGACTGTTGCACGGAGAAATAATATACAATTTCCTGCCACGTGTTCTGCAACATCTGTGGCACAGGGCCGACCACAGAAGGAGTGGCCGACCAAAGACTTTACAAGGAACTCCAGAAAAGGTGAAAAATTTTTTAACACACAAAAGAATAGATCATCTATTTGTTTACGTAAGATGACATTCTTACAAATCGACCGGATGGCAGGATGGCAAATCGTCCTCTTAAATGGGATTCACATCTGGCATCAACCTGTTAAAAGATGCCAGGGATGTTAAAAGATGTCATTAAATGTGAATCCTTAATGTCCACGTTTGTTTTTACAATGTTATTCTAAGTAGTAAAATTGTATTTTCCTCGTTTTGATTCAACTGTTTTTTGAAAATACGTTAATATTCCAGACGTAATTTTCCATATTTCAGGTAAATCTAAAATTGAAGTAAAGGGGTTTTTTCCCCTTCAGACAATGTTAACAACAACCTCCTTTTTTAAAAGTGGCATTAGTCAAATATCACTGGCAAACAATGTAATTTTTAATTCGGAGTTTTGCACGATACTTTGGAACAGGAGCAATAGACACACGAAGTTCATTGAGGTCATTGATTCTGCTGCCAGCATAAACCCTGTCTTTCACATAACCCCAGAGGAATTACGGGGACCATGGTGCGTCACAACTAATTACTTCGTGCGCCTCAAATCTACGGAAAATTTACAATTGCCCCTTTTCAATGCTACGTGTTAGATGCATTTATCTTTATGCACTGAACATTGTCAGCAAGTTCAGTGCGTAAACTTTTATTTTTACTGTTAAATTATTTTAAATAAACTTGGAATTTCAAAGTATTAGTATACAATAAAACAAAAAAATAAAGATACGATTATATAACCTAAAAACCATTTTAAAATAACATTCTTTTAAAGTCAAACTTAAAAAAGTATCAGAACTAGACCCTCATATAATCATTTTTATATCATTTATCAAAGTGTAAAAGTCAATTCATCTTTGTTTGTTCATCTCATTCTCGATAGAGGAATGCTGGCGCCTTCGCTTTTCACTCCGGAAGAACAGAGGAAAAGATCGCTCAGCGACCGAAGAGACGGCCTTATCGAAGACGACCAATCCGAGGAAGACAGGAGAGAGGTCACGAAGTGACCAAAGCCGGCCTTATAGGAGACGGCCCACGCGAGAAGGGGTGACAGAATGCCTTCCGAGAGGACTTGGAGGGGAAGCTGGCCCCTATTCAGGCGTCATTGGCAAGAAGGAAAACCCGGAAAAACTCCAGCTGCCAACTCGTCCGAGTGAGCGCGACCCCCCCTCCCGATCGAACTCCGGTGTTTACAGTCTGGTCACCACCTTGTTTGTTCATCTTGATCTTCACAACTACTTAGGGGAGGAAAATTTGCTTTAGAAGTACTGACGAAAGCTTATTTTCGTCTAAAAATCAAATTCCTGGTATCTCATCTTTGTATAAAATAGTATATAAAATTAAAATAATCTTATTTTAAAACAAATTCATTTCAATATTACAATATAATATTAATTAATTAAAAAAATCTCGAATAAATAATGTTCAAAAAAGACTGATTGTACATATATTTTACATTTCTTTCCTTTTCACACTTTTTGACCTCATTCCAAAGAATTTTATTTAAAGTACTTAATCTGATTACCATCATCACTTCACAGAATTGTTCAATGTCTATTTTATACGCTACAACTAAATCAGAAATTACTAAATATAAGTAGTCAATTTAACCTAATTTAACATAAAAATACACACTAGAGCTAACGCCATAAATTATCAAAATTATAGTAATAAATTAACTGATGTAAAAAGGAAAATTAAGTAATTTTTGTTCACTTATGTTTAAAAGAAAGCAAAAAAAAAACCTGTAACATAATAAACTTTACGAAAGCAGCAAGGACATAATTTCATAGCGTGACGTTTTCTACGATAATAGAGTAAACACCAACACTAAACTAGGAAGGAAAAATTTGATTTGTTTAAAAATGAAACATAATACTGTGTCTTACGTAGCAAATTTAATAGAAATTTCAATAAATTTTAATGATATTATAACATGGCATCATTAAAATAATTTCCGTTATTAAGTAATGCCTTTCGTTTAAAAAAGTGATTACTTATTTACTGCTGAATTTGCGTAAAATTAGCATTAATTTATGCAATTTATCTAATTAATAGAACTGAGAGACCAAACTCATTATATTTTATTAATTATTTTTGAAATTCGATACGTTAAGGCTGATTATCATACATAAATTAATACCATTTTAAATAGATTCTCACTTGAATTGATAAAAACTCCCCCCCAAAAAAAATTTAACACTTACGTTAGTAATGTCATCTTTTCCCCACTAAAATATTGCTACAATTATTGGAAAAATAATGAAATCTCCTAAAAGGAAATTTTTATTCATCCTACATTATTAGTTTATATTACAGGAAGTATTATAATAATGTTATCATATCCTAAAATCACTTTACGATTTCCTTTAGTAACTTTGAATATAATCAAACTTCAATATACTGTATAACAATGGTTGAATTTTAAAAAAATGATAAATTACGAAGTATTTATATGAATTCAAAATAGAAAAATTTAGTTAATTTTCTATTGATTTCCTGTGTATAAAGAGATTAGCCTGTTACGAAATTGTCTAAGAAAAATCATTGATTTTGGAGAAGGTCATTGGAAGTTTTTTGTTAATAAATATATATAAAATTTTACTACTTTACGTCCATTACACTAAAGCTCTCTCTCTCTCTAGAAAATAGGAATTATTATCTATTAGTATAAAGATAAAAGTATGAGGATGAGGATGATTCTAAAGATGAGGATGATTAGATGAGATAAATAGAGAGTGAGATAAAGATGAGGATGATTCTAAAATTTGAAAAGAAAAAGTAACGATAAATAACAATTGTTAGGCTACTGTTTTATGAAATAAATAACGCATTTAAGTTTAAACAGGAAATTACCTTCTGTATTTTCTTCACTTGTTTCATCAATTTCGCTATCATCTATATCTTCTGATGAATCGAAACATATATCACCACTGTCGGCCATCTTTATTTGACCAGCACAGAAACTAAAATTTATTTATTTATTTATTTTTAAAGATAGTTGGCGACTTTGCCAACTGACAATTGCTTAACAGTAAGAATTTTTCAGCCAGAAAATTTCATGTTTTAAGTAATATAATCAATTGAAATTGAGTTATGATAATAAAGAATTTTTTAAGTATCAGTTAAAGATTAAAATTTAATATGTTTTAAACGGTTTTTCGGTTGAATTTACCTTTAAAAAAACGTTTTATATATAAATTTTATCCAAGATATGATTTTAGGTCATTGATTTTACTCTACATTACACAAAAAACTCTTCAGTTTGTCGTAATGGCAAATTATATTAGGTCTATATATAAAGTTAAATATTAAATATTAATAAATAAAATAAATTTTAATAATAAAAATTAAATTTTTAACCAACCAGAAAAACAGTTTAATCTTTAATAAATTGCACCTTAAAGTAATTATAGATAAAATGATACCAGAAGTAATGTTTTGAAGTTAACACAAATTCTTTAATAATTATAGTAGTTATTATCATGTATTAAAATTAATGTGGTTATTAAATAATTCAAGTAATTGGCTTCTTTACAATCAAATATAAACAAGTGCTTTTTGTAAAGAAAAACTTTACAAACACAAAGTCATTTATAGAAAAATTAAAATTAATTTGTCAACTTAATTTGATGTATGATAGTAATTTTGATAAAGTTGATAACAAATTAAACTGTTCCATTTTAAGTGTTTACTAAATATAATGTAAATCTTTATAGTGTTATAAAATATTATATATAATTAACTTTAAAAAAATTCTCAGGGACTTGCATATTTTTAAAGATAAAAAGGGGTAAACATATATAAAAATGCTGATATATTCAAACTAGAGCAAAATTGTTGATTTAAAACATTATTATGATAAAATACTACACTAAATATGTTACAGAAAAGAATTTATATGATTAATTTTTGTCTGTTTATGACTTAAAAAAGATATTATATCTCATATTTTTAATATAATTTTCAAACTTTGATATGTTTGAAGATCGATAAAGTAAGAATTTTTTAATTAACAATCATGAATTATCCTATTTATCTTAACTTTATATTCACAAGGTCATTCTAATACAAGATAATTATATAAATTTATACTGTATTTACACTGAAAATTACAATTACATTTTTTAGCAAGTATCATTTCATTAAGCAATTTATTAAACAGGATGTTTAAAAACTTCGGTAACTAAGTAGAAAAATATTGAATATTATATATAAAAATCAAAAATATTTATAACAACAAGTGACCAAAAAAAAAAAACAAAAATATAACCAGGAAAATAAATAAAAATTGATTGACCTTGAAGGATGGCATTTCATTACGATAAAGAAAAACAAATAAAATATGTGTGTTTAGTAAAGTACTGTATATAATTACATAGTATTAAGTGATATTTCATTTACATTTTTAAAACTGGATCATCGTGTTAAGTCAATACAGAACAGAAGTTTCGATTTCTCATGACTTATATAAAGTTTTTATTCGATACTATCAAAGTACATACATACATCTGGACTGTTCACATTAAAAATCAAATAAATAATTGTAATTTATAACCATAAACTATTAAGAAATAATAACAAATTAAAACATATTATTTGACTGATAGTAATTTATGACAAAATACGTTAGAAAAATTGGCATCTACAAGCCAATTCATGAATGTATATTTTCATTAAGGGATGTTGAATTAATATTTTAAATTTAGTTATCATCTTGATAATGATCGTCCCCTATTTTTTTTTACTAATAACGATATGGATGCTATTAATAATATAGATATAAACATTAAAAAAAAAGTGACTTTTCCAGATGAAAGTGATCAAATATGCAAAATCTTCGATTTAATTTAGTAATAGAACGTACTAAAAGTTTTCGTAATTACAGAAAATTAGTAGAATACTTTCACATTTGGTAATTTTTAAAAAAAAAAAAAAAAAATATTAAGGAGAGAGAACTGTTCAGAAAATATTATTTTTTCAAGCCATTAAGAGAGGAAAAAATGCTCTTTCTTCACTAATTTGAAAAGACAATTCTATGGAAATAAATGGATAATTTATATGAAATTAACAAAGTATCGATATTATCATTTTTTTTAATGATTAAACGTTGATAATTATTACGTTCTGCATAACAAACATTTCAATTATGCAAATTATTTCAATGTAAATACAATACATAGCTGACACAAGACATTTATTTCACACGCTAAAATCCATCGATCTCAATGAACAGATTAGAATAATAATTTTATGAAAGAATTTCATAAGTTTCATATGAAAGAATTTCATAAGAAAATTCATTTTCTATAAATAGTTAATATAAAACTCATGTGATAAATGCTGAAATCAAGAGTAAATAGTGAACACAACGTGCAAATTATCAATAATTAGAAGAACATACAATAATTAATGTACAAAGAAGCAATAATACATGTTGTACTGTTGTTTGACTTTAGTAATATCATTCAACTGATCCTAATAAATGTAGTAATTTTGCATAAATTTGTCCTTGCGTATTAAAAAAAACATTTCTTTTACGGGTTTATATTCACAGTTTAGAAATAAAATCAAGGATTAAATATATATTTTATTGATAGAATCATTTCCAATAATTCTAGAAGAAAATTAAATATTCAATAAAATATTTACAGATACTTCATCGTAAAAGAAAAAGGTGGAGTCGAATATCTTAATATAAATCGACCTTCTCAAAGTGGAGTGAGGAAAAAAAAAATTAATTTTTATAACTATTTTATTAGAATTATGGAAGGAAAAACATCTAATACAATTTCATTTTTTTTCTAAGGATGATTAGATGAG